GGCTCAGTGTTCTTGCTGGGTAACATTACCATTGAAACCAAGAGTCAAATGACTGTGCAGCATATCTGTCACCAGAAAAAGGTAGAAATTGGGTTGCTGGGATATCGAAAGCTGAAAGCATCCAAATAGAGTTGGTGCAGTTATCAAAAACAAGCCTCTTTGCCTTTCTTTATTAACCTCACCTTCCACTTTGTTTAATCTTTTCCTCCCAAGAGTTTTACTAACTCAAACTGAGCTAGCACTTAAGATGTTTAAAACGTTTATCATTTCTTAAAACCCATGCTCAGGTGAGGCAGCCACTTGGCTCCAGAGCACATTTTCTTAACCTCGGCACGACTGATATTTTGGGTAGCACAACTATTTGTTGTCAGGTGCTATTTCGTGCATGTAGAATGTTTAGCAGCACCCCAGTCTCTACCCATTAGAATGCTACTAGCGTCCTCCAATTGTGACAACCAAACATGTGTCCAGACATTGCCAAATTACCCCAGGTTGAGAACTTCTGCTTTAGAGATTGAATTGGTGGACTGCATGGTGTCCTCTGCAAGACAGCTTATGCCAGCCACTGCTTCAGAGCTTTTCTCCAGTAATAGAAAAGGAAAGATAACATAACCTGCTCTATATTACAGGTGGAGAGAAACTCCATTTATTCACTTAGAAAGATGAAATTGACATTATGAATGTACCTGCTTGGAAAACATGTAGTGTGACAGTTAAGAGTCACTTTGAAAATGTCTCAGTCCTTAGTAGTAGAGTAGGTGGCATTGACCTGAAAAGTTTAGAGTCCGGCTTGGGCTGTTCCATTGATTCATGGGGTAGCTTGTGACAATCCCTGGGACCTCACTATATCACTGGCTATAAGATGCCTTATGCTGTGTAGTGACCCAAGACAATATCCATAAAAGACTCTAAGTGCTGGGAATGGCAGTCCTATATCAAAATAAGATGTCACAGATGCATTTGTGGATAGCCCCCTTGTCCTAGCACTTCAATGTGTAAGTAGCAGAGTAAAATGAATTCCATGGAGAATGATATAGAGAAAGACCTATTCAGTTTTACTAAGAACAAAAAATTATTAGCAAATTAATAATTAGAAAATACTATTGAACACTAACAATGAACCACTTTCCTGTACACTTTACATGTATTAACTCATTTTATCCTTATCTCACTATTAGTGGTATTTACTATTTTCAGGTAGTCAAATATCAGTATCAGTGGTATTTACTATTTTCAGTTATTTACTACTAATTTCACATAGCGATCAAGTTGTAGACTTAGCATACAAACCAATCAGTTTGGCTTACAACCGCTACAATATAAATTTTAAATCAACAAACATGTATTACATCCATATTCACTATACCAGGTGGTCTGCTAAGTGTTGAATAATCAAAGATGAGTAAGTCATGATTTCTGCTACCAAGCTGATCACAATCTAGTGTGGAGGCAGTTCTATATATATATGTATATAAATCGTTCTATATAACTGAGACTAACATGATGTTTTTAGTATTGCAGCAGTTGCAAGTTAAGTAGTAGAACAAAGAAGGGGTGATGTATTGAACCCTAAGGGAAGGTAGGAGCTTCACAGAGGAGGCAGAACCACAGCTAGGATTTGAAGGATAAATAAGAATTCACCAGAAAGACCCGATGTGTTAACAGCCATTGGGGAGGAGGGAACAGCATGAGCCAAGGCCCATCCTGGTCCTCAGCAGTTTGTCTGTCTTTGGGCTCTAGGTGCCCATTGTAAAACAGCCCATTCTTCAAGGCCCAACTCATCTGCTATCCTTTTCAGATAAAGTCTTTTGGAATATTCTTGTGCTTATTCTTGTTCCGGATCTTGATGTTAGCACTTACCACATTCTGCATTGTGTTAGTTGCATTAACATCATTCTCTCTGACTGGTCCCTTAGCTCCTCGAGGGAAGTGAATCTATTTGCATTTATTGCTGGGCAGTAACTTATGCTAGATGATGCTGGATAAATGTTAAATAAATGGTGAGGTGAATAAAACATAGCTGGACATAAGGCAATGCAAATGTCATATCAAACAATTCATTAAATGTATCCCATATTTAAATGTGTGTGTGTATATATATACACACACATATATATATATACACACTCTCTAAGATAAGTCAAAGATGAAGCTTGGTGTATATTTTGATGTCTGGGATCTATGAGTGACTGCAAGGTAACTTGGAGAAATGAAAGAATTAGCACTAACTCCAATCAGTTTCTAATCCTGATAGGTCTGCTCTTGAGTTTGCCTAGTGCAGTGAGTGGTTCTCAAACTTAAGCATTAGTCAGTCTCAAAAATTTGTTAAAATGCAGATTCCTACAGATCCTAATACAGAGTTCTGGAGTAAGGTACAGGAATAGGCACCCTCCTCCTGAATGATTCTTTGAAATGAGTTTTTAAAAAATGGTCTGGTAACAGTAGGCAGAAGTCTTGGACTTTGGAGGAGAAAGAAGGAGCACCCAAAAAAACATGAATGTAAGGCCAGCTGAACAAAAAAGTATATATATATGTGTGTATGTGTATACACATATTTTACATATGTAAATAATCCTTATATATGTATTACATATATAAATAATCCATGTATATGTATTACATATATAAATAATCCATATATATGTATTACATATATAAATAATCCATATATATGTATTACATATATAGATAATACTCTCTCTATATATATATTCCCTCATCATCTTGTTACAGATTACTAAAATTACTAACAAAAGCCATTTCTTAGGTAAATGTTTCACCCTATCTGTTTCTATCTGTTTTATGAGCAACTCCGACATGGGTGAGGCCCAGGCATTCATTGGTAGTTTTAAAAAATCTTCTGAGATGATGATAATACACAGTTTGAGCTAATAACCACTCTTTTAGGGCCTTAAAGTGACAAAATGCAAACATCTGAGAATGATTAACACTTTAGCAAGCCAATTTTCAGTCATTGTTAACACCTGAGGGTAAATTAAATATTTGCATCTTTCTTTCTTTCTTTCTTTCTTTCTTTCTTTCTTTCTTTCTTTCTTTCTTTCTTTCTTTCTTTCTTTCTTTTTTATTATTATTATACTTTAAGTTCTAGGGTACATGTGCATAATGTGCAGGTTTGTTACATATGTATACTTGTGCCATGTTGCTGTGCTGCACCCATCAACTCGTCAGCACCCATCAACTCGTCATTTACATCAGGTATAACTCCCAGTGCAATCCCTCCCCCCTCCCCCCTCCCCATGATAGGCCCCGGTGTGTGATGTTCCCCTTCCCAAGTCCAAGTGATCTCATTGTTCAGTTCCCACCTATGAGTGAGAACATGCGGTGTTTGGTTTTCTGTTCTTGTGATAGTTTGCTAAGAATGATGGTTTCCAGCTGCATCCATGTCCCTACAAAGGACACAAACTCATCCTTTTTTATGGCTGCATAGAATTCCATGGTGTATATGTGCCACATTTTCTTAATCCAGTCTGTCACTGATGGACATTTGGGTTGATTCCAAGTCTTTGCTATTGTGAATAGTGCCGCAATAAACATACGTGTGCATGTGTCTTTATAGCAGCATGATTTATAATCCTTTGGGTATATACCCAGTAATGGGATGGCTGGGTCATATGGTACATCTAGTTCTAGATCTTTGAGGAATCGCCATACTGTTTTCCATAATGGTTGAACTAGTTTACAATCCCACCAACAGTGTAAAAGTGTTCCTATTTCTCCACATCCTCTCCAGCACCTGTTGTTTCCTGACTTTTTAATGATCGCCGTTCTAAGTGGTGTGAGATGGTATCTCATTGTAGTTTTGCATTTTTCTTAAGAGGCAACCAGGTGAGGCGAATTCTCCATGAGAGTAAAATATACAAAAAGGAAAATTACGTGGGAGAAATCAAGGTCGACAATCTGGCAATGCCTAGGGGAATATTGGCTAACCTGAGGGCATCCTGAGAACCAGAAAGGACAAGTCTAGTATAGGGTTGTTTAAAAGAGGATAAGAAAGCAAGGAAAGAGGTCAGAGATTCCAGAGGCAAGTAGTGATGCTAGGTCAATATCTGGCCTGAGGCCCTCAGGCTTCTTCTTGGAGGAAAGCTAATTAATGAGGAATGTGTTGAGGGCTGAAAATAGAAGCTAGGTAATAGGGAAATCTGGGAAAGAGTACCATCTGTGCCCCGAGCTCTCCCAGCTTTAAGCCATAAACTAATTCCCTCTCTGAGGTTTCTTGTGTCTTCGTGAACAGTGTAAAAGTGAGCAGGGCCACTGATCTGGTTGAAAGAGAAAAGCTGATATAGGAGAAGAGGCAGTGTTTAAGGAAGGTGTGAGCTATTTTCAAGTGAGGAAGGCGTGTTTGAAGAAAGAGGCACTATGGAGGTAATTAAAGCTGTGACTGAAACCACAGAACTGGCTTGCTCTTAGCTGCTATTTGTGGCTAATCACTTCCAAATAACAAATGGATAGCACGGTAAATGTTAGCAGGATAATTTTCTATTAATCAAGAATAATGAGTGAGTAGGCTAATTCCCTCTTCAAACATCCCTAATTTTAATGCTGTTGCATGTTGCTGCTTCAGATTGATTACACAGTGATTTCGAGGGAGTGAGACAGTAGGGAGACTCAAAATAAAAGGCAGGATATTATTATTTCCTGCTAATTCGTGTAGAATATCAACTTCTCCCACATGGATTCTTGTAGAAGGTGAAGATTGCCTTTCCAAAAATAGTTTCAAGTCTGAGAGAAATGTCCAGATTTGAGAGAGAGAGAAGGTAGGGAAGAGGAAGAAGAAGAAGAAAGAGGAGAAAAACAGGACGAGGAGAAGAAGGAAGAGGAAGGGAAGGGAAGGAAGGGGAAGGGGAAGAGGAAGGGAAGGGAAGGAAGGGGAAGGGGAAGGGAAGTCCTGATTGCAAATGAAGCCATAAAACCTAAGTACATAAAATCTGGAATAAGTCTACATGTTTTCTCAACTTTATTCACTGTGAGGCTTTGAGCAATTTCCTTAAATGCAATGATATTTTATTTATACACTCATGGTAAAGAAGTACACAGAGCTTAGTTATTTCACATTACATTAGACTGACCTCAACAGTCTGGGTCTTGGTCTTCCACAACACCAGACTTTTCAAGAAATTAGATGTAGTCCCAGCCCTTCCAAAAGTATTTAATATTATTGGAAAATCAGCCACCTATGAAACAAGAGCAATGAGTGAGAGTCTATGTAATTATTCTACAAAAGATTAGAAATTTCTTTATTCTTGTAGTAGTTCAAAGAAAGAGGGACTATTGTGGCAACAAGGGTTTCATAGTGCATGTGAAGTTGCTGGATGTAATTTGAAGACATGGTGTGATGTATTTTTCACTCATCCACATCTACTCTCCACGCTTCTCCATTCACCTGTTTACTCCAGGAGACTGATGTTTGCATTACATTAATGGGTCCTTTTGCTTTCTAGCCTCTTATGGCCTTTGTCCATTGAAGAGCACCTGAAGGAGATAGGAAGAGGAGTGTGTAGTTGGTATACATCTTCTGTCTCCTTGTAAGCTTGCACTTAGGAGCTTTCCATCCTCAGATAGAACATCTTCTATTATGGTCCCTCTGCACTCTCTCCTGCTTGGTTTTAGTACCACTTCCCTTCTCCCCTTTTAACCAAGAAATGACAGAGGTGTTACTATCTCCTATGATTTCCCTAAACTCTGCCCACATTTGTAAATAGTCTCTTTATTAAATTCTTCTTGAATTATTCTAATTTGAGAGTGTCTTCTGTTTCCTGCGTTACTAGCTAACACACATAGACTTAGAGATAAGAAGGTGGGCATATCAGAGAGTAGGAGTAACCTTGAAGATGCATTTAATTTACAGCAAGTTTGCCTAATACAGGGTACTAGCTCATTGCTCTACAGGAAGTTAATGACTAAGTTGAAGTCAAATAAGATTTTAAAATAATCTCAAACAAGATCATAAAGATGTTTCAAATGAACAGTTTTGCTAGATTTGAACCAACTTTCTTTTATTAAGGCAATATGAAAAGCTAAGATATCCCTGTTCAGAACATTTGGTTTGAAAGGAGATGAAGGTAGCAAGAGGATTGGAAGAGACTCCGAAGACTGCCATTAAAAGAACCATGTCTCTTTTAAAATTCCGTTCTCTTATAAATCATCATACGTCAACTCCAGGTGTGGAGCATCAGCCTACTCCTCTGCAATCCTGGGGAATATGAGAATCAGGCAGAAGTTTCCATGGATGGAATTCATCCCATGGCTTTCCTTTCAGGAATGCATATTTTGGGATGAAAGTGAAGGAACTGTTATGAGGTTTTGATTATTGTTATTGTTATTATTATCATGTTTTTTTTGAGACAGAGTCTCACTCTGTCGCCCAGGCTGGAGTGCAGTGGCGCAATCTCAGCTCTGCAACCTCCGCCTGCTGGGTTCAAGCAATTCTCCTGCCTCAGCCTCTCAAGTAGCTGGGACTACAAGGGTATGCCACCATTCCTGGCTAATTTTTTGTATTTTTAGTAGAGACAGGGTTTCATCATGCTAGCCAGGCTGAAGTTGAACTCCTGACCTCGCGATCTGCCCGCCTCAGCCTCCCAAAGTGCTGGGACTACAGGCATGAGCCACCGTGCCCAGCTTTGATTATTTATTTACTTATTTATTTGATCATTTATTCGTTCATGTATTTATGTATTCATTTATGTATTTAAGGAAACAAATCTAAATGCAGTTGCATGTGGCAATGACATCTAGACTCTCAAATGTCAGGAGGGTGATATATATGTGTGTAGGAATAGACAAGACCAGTGTTTTCCTCCAGCAGCTCTAACCAGTTTGTTTAGCCTGATGGACAGATGCAGGGTACAAGGCTCTTTATCATATTTAAGAGAAACATTGACAAGCTGAACCATAAAAAGGAGAACACTGTGGATAGCTAAACAGTAGGAAAATGTGTAAGGTTAATTGCATTTAGGAAAACCAGCAAGACCAGGCATAGCAACTGTATCATTCTTTATGTTTACCTGTGTAAGATATTATTTTGAATGAAGTACATCCCTCAAAAGGAAAGCATTAACTTTTTTTCTCCTGTAAATTTTTTCCCCAAGAGGTTTGAGATTTTTGACACACGGATCAAAATATGTAACTTTCTTTGAGTCAGCTAGATCCAGGTTAGAATCCAAGATTTGAAATATCCTGCCTCAAGCAAGTTTATTTTCCTTTCTGAAATTAATTTTTCTTACCTGAAAAAAAAAATGGGGCAATAAAACAACATTTCATTAAGTACTAAGGACTAAATGCAATAATGTTTATAAAATGCTTGACAAGGCACCCAATGATAGAGGACAGATGCAACTGTTGCTGTAGTTGCTATTTAAAACACTATTCATATGCAGCTTCCAACAATCTGACCACAAGCAATGGTAGCAAGAAGAGAGATGAACACAGAAACACAGAAATGATAGCTATTGTAGAATTTCAGCCTCCACCCTTTGTGGAGCTTTTCTTCAGTATTCTGTTTCTGCAGGTTCCAGGCACCTATATTGGTGATAAGGAACTTATTACCCATTCAGTCACTGATTAAATTTTTTAGCAGCTTTAGGCATGAAGATTTAACTGAGGTTACAGAGATATAATGGTAGAATGGAAAGTGTAAGTTTTAGAGTCAGTCATAAACTGAGATAAACACCACTATGCCATTCACTAGCTGAGTGACCATAATAAGAAAGAAATGTCTCTTGTCTACCTTTTTTAAAGGGTAAAATCACAACCATTAGTTCAAAAATGGGTGAGATGAAATATGAACATTTTTAAGTACACCTGTTCACATATAATGGGTACTTATTTTTAGTTTGCTTCCTTCTTTCTTTCCTTCTGTTGAGGCAAAAATCTGCCTGTTTGTATCTCAACCATTTAGCCTCCATTCAGCTCTGGATCAATGTGGATTAAATTGAGTTTCACTTTCACGATCAGTTATTCTCTGTTCTTTTATTTGTCTCTCTTTAAAGGTAAATAACCTCTAGGTTCTATTCCATTCCTGCGGGAACATGATTGCCAGGATGCTAAGGGAAAGAGATGCAGTAATTTTGTATGATTAAGGAGTATAAATTGACTTTGTATATTATGCAAATATCAAGGCTTGGGAGACAAAGAACCTTCTAAAACATGCACTTTTGGTAATACATCTCTATGACCTGCATTCCCAGACCAGCAGACATCCCATTAAGATGGGAGAGAGTAAGTTTCTTATTCTTACAATAAATCTTTGTTATGTAACTAAAAATCCCTGAAAAAGAAGCACTAAGAGACAACACACTGTATTATTACTACCTACCTCACAAGCAGCACAGGCTAATGTTAGTGACCCATTTTGTCTGTTTTCATCCTTCATTTGTATACTTGGCCTTGCAAATAGAGTACTTTGAATAAACATTATAGCGATATTTATGAGTTTTCTTGCTAAGTGCTTCTCTTGGAGATGCATTATCAGGCATTCGACATAAGCCACAGAGATAGAGTCATTTATCCTTGTTAGGCAGGTAAACAGAGGGAAATTGTTCTTTCCCACCATCCTGGGCCCACAAGAGCCTTTATCTAAAACTAAGGCAATTCAGAAAGACCAGTTCCCAGCTGATGAAGTAGGAAGTTATGAAAAATTTTTAAAAATAATTAAAAGCCTGGATGGCTATTGCAAGGCTGAGAAGAAATGAGCTGCCAAAGAGTTCATCATCACTGGGTGTCTACGATGGGCCACAGTCTGCCATAGATAATTACCATGCATTGTATTCTGTGATGTACAGATCTGCCATGTCAGGTCTCATTGAGGGGTGAGTTTTATTATCCCCATTTTGTAGATGAGGGAGCAGATCCAAAGATTAAGGAATTTGTCTAACAGTGGATTTGTGGCAGAGTTGGGACTTGACCTCAGATTGGCATAAAACAAAGCCCATCTCACTACACCAACTTCTTTCACAGTGTTTGGCTGGCAGAAGAAGCAACGTTGCATGTGATTGAAGACATTCTCTGTGTCTCTAGACACCCTGTGTCTGTATGAAGATATAATTGGAGGATCATTTAAAGTCAGAGAAGGCCTCATCTGGGTGTTTTGAGAAATCTGTATGGAAAAAAAAAAGGGTTAAACCAAAGGTAGAATTTCCTCTGCTAACTCACTGAGAGTTTATGGGAAGAAGTGAAAAGTGCCTAGATGTGCTGCTGCAACCATGAGTGGGGAGAAACAACAAGTTAGGGGAGAGTAGACAGAAAGGGAGGATGGTGACCGGGAGGGAAAAAAGAAAATACTGAAGAAAATAAGAGAGGAAAAACACCCTATTTTTCCCCTAGTCCTTCTGTGCGTTATATATTGCTTATTGTTGTCCTAGAACTATGTAAACAATGTTTTATCTTTGTGAAACAAAAGGTGTTTGAAATGCCTTTGAACATTTAAAGTACTTTAAAGATCAACCACAGCATTGTCCATATCTATTAAGAAAGGAGGACCGAGGGAAAGAAGAAGGAAGGGAAGGAGGGAAGAAGGAGGGAAAAAGAATGGAAGGAAGAAAAGGAGGGAAGGATCTAATAACATCCCCAAAGATTGTCTATGTTATCAGGATAATGGCTGAAATATCTTGTGAAAGCGAACGTAAACTCAAGCACAGACCCGCAGTCCTTCTGCAATAACTGAATCAGGCTTTGATGAACACCGATGGGAAGTAGCATTTTAGATCTGTTTTATCTCTCTTGTGACATTAGGGCCATTTGTTTCCAGTTGCCTATTGTTCACGTCTACAGTCAGCACCTAATCATGTCTGAATAGAAGAGAAAAATCCAAAATTCTGTCTGATCATAATACAATGTCAGTAAAGTTGAATGTAATGCCAATATTCAAAGAAAAGCAGCCAACAAATCTGTGCAAACTCTTGGTTAAAAAAAAAATCTTATGGTTGTTATTTTTCCCCTTAAACAAGTACAGTTTGATTTCTATAATGACACTAATTCTAATGTATTTCATTTCTTAATTCCCTGTATGATTAGTCATCCTTGGAAATAACAACTAGGCGAGTAGCTTGGGATTACATTTCTCACTAGGACATTAATGCATATTGTGAACTGTGATAGCCTAATGCTTCCATCTCCAGGTAACACACTTAGTTCACACTGCTCTCTTTATGGTCTGGCAAGTCTATTCACTGGTGTTTGTGTTGCTACTAACTCCCTGATCTGCAGCACTATTTCAGTTGTACTTGGCATTTGGATAGCTGGCTTGAGACCTAGACTGCCTCATTAGTAACTTTTTTATTCAAACATATTCTATAGCAACTGCCATTTAACATTGCAGTGACTTTTTTCGTTTTTTTAATGTTCATAATCCATTGTACTTGCTATAAATTGGCAGGGATAAGGGTCAACTAATATTTTTCCGATATTGGTAATTTCCCCTTATTTTTAACTCACTTAAATCACTGTGATTCATCACATGGTTCAGCAAAACAAGATAAATACAAACTTTAGGGGTGTGTATTTGTGTGTGTGTGTGTTATTGACAGATCGAATGTGTATTTCTGTCATGGATTTGTAAAATACCTTTATGTGTTTACACCGTGACATAATATCCAACTTTCTCCATTCTGGGGCCAAAACTAAACTATTGTGACTGGATTAACCCATTATAGCCTGCCTAATTTATTGTATAACTCTAGGCAATTTGGCAATCTTTAAGATACTTCTCTGAAAGGCTATTGTTATTATTGTGCTGGATTAATGAGAAGTATATGAATGAGCAGAATTAATGTTAACTGCTTCAGTAACAAACACTAACATTTTATGGCTTGACCGAATAATACTTTATTATTTCTTGCTGTCATAAAGGCCAATAAAAATGTCCTAGATTGGACAGTTCTTCTTGGCAGCTACCCTTTAAAGCAGTGACTCTGGGACCTGGGCTCCTTTTGTCTATTCTAGAAATTGTGAGCTCCCATAAGTCCTTGGAGTTCTTCAAGGATTCTCTTCATCTGTTGAGCCAGTGATTCCATATGAGAGATTTTCTGAGAGGTGTTTAGAGCCCATAATTGAAAAAACCATATGTCATTTCCTCTGGTATTTCTTAGCCCACGCCTGATTCACATTGTCTCACCGTCTATAAGGCAGCTTGCAAAGGTAGTTTGGCTATATGCCCAAAAAGAAATGAAAAAGTGTAGAGGGCAAAGAGTAGCGTCTCCGTTATGCTCTACCAATACGTAGAATGTATTTAGCAGCACCCAAGGAAGACATCCCAAAGTTCCATCCAGTCACTGCATCCAGCAGGATTGCTGGGTAATGAGACACTTTCTCCACCTCACTAGATGTGGCTCTTCTTGATCTTCTACCTGTGACTTAAAGAGACAAGCTATCTCCTTCCCCACCGCCCCACCACTACTGGCCACAAAACCTCATACGTAATGGCAGATCAGGATCAGGATAACCACAGTGATACTACCACTTACAAAACTGAAGAAAGAAGCACAGATAATTAACTTGCTTGCTTTGTCATCCTGTGTTTTCACATGGTCTTCCTTCTCTACCAGTCTGTGTCCAAATTTCCTCTTCTGTATGGACATCAGTCACATTGTATTGAGACCCATTCTAATGACAGCTTAATTTGATTACCTCTGTAATACCTCATATCCAAATGAGGTACATTCTAAGGTACTAGGGGCCAAGAGTTCAACACATGAATTTGGGGGGCACACAGTCCAACCCATGACACTGTCTTTTGATTACAATTAGTTTCATTTGCCAATAACCACATTCATATTTCCTTCTGAAACTTAAGTTTTCAAGCCTCCCTTATTTTGTTGTTTCCTCAACCCTATGCCTTTCTCTCTCTCAAGAAAATGGTGGCTGACATTGAATGGGAAGCCACACTCTTAATTAGATAACTGTTTTTGGACATTTTATTCATCTGAGTTTTATTTGGCCATTGACACTCAAAACCTTTCAAAATTCCATCTTATTGTTTGTGTCTAGAAGCAGATGGCTTTCCTAGCAATAAAGGCCTTGCTTTCTATCTCTTTGTTTCCTTTCATTTCTGCTTGCAAGCCAGCCAGGGTTTTCCCGAGTTCATCTCTTTCTTGTAATATTGCAATATCTTGTCAAAGCAGCCAGTAGTATCCAACACACGCTAACTGTTGATTCTTCTAATTATTTCCACTGGAGCTGCTGGCTCAGCAAGCATGTGGTTTGCCTTCAACACAATCACAAGTGATAGTTACACAAAATGTTTACCACTGAATAATATGAGTTCTATCTTATCAGACTTCAATATCAATTTCCTTGCTGCTTATCATCCAACCTATAAGGCAAATACCACATATTTAAGTTTTGTAGTCTAGCAGCACTCTTTTTCTAGTTACCAGTTGCTATATTATTCGAGTTTAATAATACTCACTGCTGCAAAATAGCAATGACACCTAAGTTCTTAGCATTACTTAACTTTACTGCTCATGAAAATTCATTAATTAATATCATCACCATCAACTTTCCTGAGTAGCTCTCCTCCAGGGAATCCAGGTTCCAGTCATCCAGTAGTTATCACAGGTCTTAGAATCCTTTCCTGGATTCTCTGAGAATCCAGCCAGCCAATGAGAAGGGTTGGGGGCAGGGGCGTGTGGAAGTTAGCAAGGGCAAGCTCTGAAAATGGCATATTTACTCCCACCCACATTTTTATGACCATACTTAGTTCCACGGTCCCACCTAACTTGAAGAGGCTGGAAAACATTTTTCTCTTTAAAGGAATGATTTGGTGAGTTCATAATTCTAAGACAAAGGAGAATCAAATAAAATAACATGTATAGAATCCTTGACACACACAGGAGCCATTCAATAAATATTGGTTACCAGTAGAGAAAATATTTTATGCACTGACTGGTCTCAATAAAAGTCTGAAGACTCTCTATTACATATCAGCATGATTTAATCAAATATATCATTAGAAATAGGGTGACATTTTTACTTATTGAAATTCTGACAGCTCACAAATCCTAAAACACAGGATCCACTGTGAAAAGCAAAAAGGTGAATTGCATTCATTTTTGCATGCACACAGATTTGCATGCAGTCACACACATATACTTGGACTCTAAGAGACCAGCTAATAAATTACTACAATTTTTTTTCAGTGTGTTTTAAGGAACCTTTCTCAACATATATTTGGTTAACTGTGTAATTCTGCTTTCCATTTAGACTAGAGAAAAGGTAGATGTAATGTCCATGAAGTAGCTTTCTATTGTTATCAGAATAAGGAACACTTACTATACAGAGGTGAAAACATTTCCTTTTTTCTCCCTGTTCTGGAATATCAGTGAGAAGTATAGGCTGTCACTGAAAATGTCTCCCTCTGCCTGGATCTACGTAGGCTGTGTCCATGCAAGATTCTGTGGGCTTCTTGTGTACTGAGTGTGTGTATGAGAAAGAAAAGTTTATCTGTGGAACAAATACTATCTGATCTTTACAGAATTAGGCAGAGGAAAGAATGCCAACCAAATGCAATAATAATGTTAATGAAACTAATAGCTGGGGAGAAAGGTCTAGTGAATGTCAATCATGAGGAAAAATGTCGGAAAAAGAAATTAATGTCCCCTTATAGAAGAAGGCTCAGATGGAATTGACATTTGGAACAGCTAGTAAAGGGCAGACTTTTCCACAATATTGTCCCATTTAAATCAAATCCACTGTCGACACACGAGGTCCCCCAAAACAGTCAACTGAGTTTCTACTGATTTCTGGACTAAAAAAATTTAGGTTAAGTAAACTTCCAGCACGCAGAAATTTGGTGTGAATATCAGAAAAGAAAAAAAGAAATCCTGAAGCTCATTGTTTGTCCCATTATCTTCCTCCTCATGTGATGACAAGAACGTATTTCTCCTTGTTTAGAAGCAGTGCTTTTGATTCTAGTCCTTTTGTTTTCCTCTGGTTCACTTTATCTCCTTCAAGTCAAAGTATTCGCAAATCTAAGGACTATTTTCATAATTTTGGCATAGTTAAGACTACGTTTGCCATAAAGATAGTATCTTGAGAGATACAAAAAGGACTTCAAATATTGAGAAACTTAGTTGCACACTAAACATGTTCAAGTTAGTTTTTTTGTTCACTTAAGTGAACAAACATCTTGAATACCATTTGAGAGCAATAAAATTCAGGACATCAGAGAAGGAGTACAACTAAAGAAGAGAAAGGGATATGACCCCATAAGTCAAAATACTAATTCATAAGGGGTCAAAATAACTAAGTCACAGAAAAGAGAAGGAAATAAATGGGAATACTTTTAAGGACATCAGATATAGATTATGGTTAAGCCAAACTTAAGCTAAAGGTATCAAAGATGAGATTGGTGGGAACGGATGGATCTTAGAGGTATCACATTAAGGAATTCAAAAAAAATTTACAACTTCCACTTAGGCCATGAGAAGGAGACTGGTACATAGAAAATTGCCTCTAGGATAGATGAACTTACTCTGCAGTCTTGCCTTTTTTTAAGATTCTCAACCATGGCACTACTGGCCCATTTTGGGCCAGATCATTCGTTTTAGGGGCCTCACCTGTGTATTGTGGGTTGTTTACCAGCACTGCTGGCTTCTACTTATTATATGCCAGTAGCACCTCCCCAGTTGCAACAACCAAAAATGTCTGCAGATGTTGCTGAATACACTCTGGGGAGGCAAAATTTCCCCCGATTGAAAATTATGGGAATTTCGTGCAGAAAGTGGGAATGGCTGGACAATTCCTTTTCCTTTCCTCAAAGCTGCTCGATACTTGAATCTTCCATGAACTCTCTTTGGGGCAAACAAATTTTCTTCATTTGATTTGCTATGGCCACTTGGAATTTATTTATGATTTTCATCTCCATCTTCTA